GATTGGCCTTACACAGAGTAAATTATTTGCGTTATACAGTGTATATGATTGGCGTTATACAGAGTACATGATTTGCGTTACACAGAGTACATGATTGGCGTTATACAGAGTAAATTATTTGCGTTATACAGAGTACATGATTGGCGTTATACAGAGTATGTGATTGGCGTTATACAGAGTATGTGATTGGTGTTATACAGAGTAAATTATTTGCGTTATACACTGTATATTATTGGCGTTATACAGAGCATATGTTCGGCGTTATACAGAGTATATAATTGGCGTTATACAGAGTACATGATTAGCGTTATATAGTGTACATGATTGTCGTTTTCCGAGTGCATAATAGGCGTTATGTAGAGTACACAACAGGCGTTATACAGAGTATGTGACTGGCGTTATGCAGAGTACATGACTTGCGTTATGCAGAGAATGTGAGTGGCGTTATGCAGAGTACACAACAGGCGTTATACAGAGCATGTGACTGGCGTCATGCAGCGTACATGACAGGCTCTATTCAGAGAACATGACAAACGTTGTACAGAGTATATGACTGGCGTTATACAGAATATATGGTAGATGTTATACACAGTATATGATAGTCGTTAAATTTACTCAAAAGTAATTTCAGGGAATATGTCTAAAAAACTTGATGTTAAATCATGGAGCATGTATAATACCTGAAAAGATTAGGGATTATGTATATTCCCTGAGTGAATCAGACAATAAATATATTCCCTGACAATTTCAGGGAATACACATATTCCCTGATTATACATATTTCCTGTAACATATATACAGACAGACAGACAGACCTCGCGCAGTGAAACGATTCCAACAAGACATACTAGATTTAATGGTGTGGATACTTGCCGGATCCGAAGTTATCAGCCTCGCCGCTCGGAAATCAGTCGGATCCGAAGTTATCCTAGAATCCGCAAACATGTCGCCATCATCTTACGAAATCCGAAAATCCGTACACAACGCGGAACGTTTTAAGTTGAAATCGGATTCTGATACACCTTACACGACAGACTGCCTAGTGTGGATTTATTGAATCGTGTACACACGTTGGCGCGTTTTAGACCGTGATCGTTAATAATTTCGACGGGCGTGGTGTGAGGAATAAAGGTAATAAAATACATAAACAGGTAGGAAGTGATCGATCTTTAAACACAAAAATACACAATGGCGGAAAAAAACAGGCGAGCTCTCCACCGAAGGAAGAAACGTTTTAAAGTTCTCTGGTCTTATACGGTAATCTGCAAATCTACGGGCTTGTTTGTGTTTATTCTACAAAAATAATGAGAAAATTATATTCGTTTCTTTATAATGTACTAAGTAAGAATTTATAGTGAGTTAGCATTCAGAGATACTACACGACTAGGTTTGTTCATGTGATAAATATATAGAGGTTATCACGCGAGTGTGTTTGGGGATGGTAAATATCCTGCATTAGGAATAAACATTGTATTTAGCGAGCCTTGGCGAGCTAAATACATAGTGTTTATTCCTAATACAGGATATTTACCATCCCCAAACACACAAGCGTGATAACCTCTTTATCATTTAATGTCATTCTTTAATTCTGTGCTTCAAAATCGCTTCCCCTCTCTCACAAACATTAGCGAAACATTGCGAGTTTTCCTGGAATGCGCGCATTAATATTTAGTCCGTCACAGGGTGAGTGATGTGTCAGTCGGACAGTGACAGTAGCCAATATAGTTCCAACTAAAAACTGTTTCTTATACTGTGGCGAAGCAACTTATACGCAAAACAACAGTTGTTTTTAATTGCCTTTCGCGGCAATCCATCGGTCTGTCCGCTAGAGTAACTGCCCTTTGTCAAAGGGAAGCTACTCTAACCCTAGTCTATGAGACGTCACGGCCACGGTCAGACGTTGTTGACAGTCGGTCTGTCCTGTCATTACGTTAAGAAGTGTAGTCAGATGTACGTACACACAGCGACAAAACGAAACAAGGTAACAATTCAAACATATTTCGGCCCAATCCAACTATTTTAATATGTGGAGAAGGTTTTAAGCTGCAGAGGTCAACAGGCACAGGTATGGCTACTGATCCCGCTTGGCTAGGCCTCGTGCCCTCGCAAAATTGTTTCAAAATTTATATCTCCAAAGTTGCCAAAACTTATAAAATGCCTTAGCTACGTCACAGTTAGACACTGATTCTCAGTATATTAGACTGTTCTTTTGTAAATTATAGCAATTATCCCTGTAGTTTATCCAGATTCCCGATGGTTAATTCTGACTCGATCGCCGAATGACGAGGGCGACGCCATGTTTGTTTATAAACAGTGAAAGTAGTCCTACTTGACCTTTGATATTTGCATCTCTATCCGCATATGACCCCAACGGATATCGTTTTTATCCGTTGGCTTTATCCTGCCGAGAAACCTACCCATTATATGATAAATACATATATCGAAAACAAGTCTGTTTGGTTTGTTATTTAAAAATAAAACCCATTTCAGTACACCTTGTAGACTAATGTTTTGTATCGTATTCAAAAGGTGAAACGTGTTAATGTTGTCGCGATTTGTTTCACCAGTAAGTCGAATTTAGACAAGGACACCATGTAGACTGAAAACGCTCGTATTTTGATGGCCCGGTGATGGCTACTTGTCGTTTCAGTACCAGTCCAGCTACATACACTATGCGTCTATCAATGTCTCTGTCTCCTGAAAATTTCAGGGAATACACATATTCCCTGATTATACATATTTCCTGTAACATATATACAGACAGACAGACAGACAGACAGACAGTCCTCGCGCAGTGAAACGATTCCCACAAGACATACTAGATTTAATGGTGTGAATACTTGCCCGATCCGAAGTTATCAGCCTCGCCGCTCTGAAATCAGTCGGATCCGAAGTTATCCTAGAATCCGCAAACATGTCGCCATCATCTTACGAAATCCGAAAATCCGTACGCAATACGGAATGTTTTAAGTTGAAATCGGATTCTGATACACCTTACACGACAGACTGCCTAGTGTGGATTTATTGAATCGTGTACACACGTTGGCGCGTTTTAGACCGTGATCGTTAATAATTTCGACGGGCGTAGTGTGAGGAATAAAGGTAATAATATACATAAACAGGTAGGAAGTGATGGATCTTTAAACACAAAAAATACACAATGGCGGAAAAAAACAGGCGAGCTCTCCACCGAAGGAAGAAACGTTTTAAAGGTCTCTGGTCTTATACGGTAATCTGCAAATCTACGGGCTTGTTTGTGTTTATTCTACAAAAATAATGAGAAAATTATATTCGTTTCTTTATAATGTACTAAGAATGTATAGTGAGTTAGCATTCAGAGATACTACACGACTAGGTTTGTTCATGTGATAAATATATACATATATCGAAAAAAAGTCTGTTTGGTTTGTTATTTAAAAATAAAACCCATTTCAGTACACCTTGTAGATCGTATTCAATAGGTGAAACGTGTTAATGTTGTCGCGATTTGTTTCACCAGTAAGTCGAATTTGGACAAGGACACCATGTAGACTGAAAACGCTCGTATTTTGATGGCCCGGTGATGGCTACTTGTCGTTTCAGTACCAGTCCAGCTACATACACTATGCGTCTATCAATGTCTCTGTCTCCTGAAAATTTCAGGGAATACACATATTCCCTGATTATACATATTTCCTGTAACATATATACAGATAGATAGACAGACAGACAGATAGTCCTCGCGCAGTGAAACGATTCCCACAAGACATACTAGATTTAATGTTGTGGATACTTGCCCGATCCGAAGTTATTAGCCTCGCCGCTCTGAAATCAGTCGGATCCGAAGTTATCCTAGAATCCGCAAACATGTCGCCATCATCTTACGAAATCCGAAAATCCGTACGCAATGCGGAATGTTTTAAGTTGAAATCGGATTCTGATACACCTTACACGACAGACTGCCTAGTGTGGATTTATTGAATCGTGTACACACGTTGGCGCGTTTTAGACCGTGATCGTTAATAATTTCGACGGGCGTAGTGTGAGGAATAAAGGTAATAAAATACATAAACAGGTAGGAAGTGATGGATCTTTAAACACAAAAAATACACAATTGTAGACTAATGTTTTGTATCGTATTCAAAAGGTGAAACGTGTTAATGTTGTCGCGATTTGTTTCACCAGTAAGTCGAATTTAGACAAGGACACCATGTAGACTGAAAACGCTCGTGTTTTGATGGCCGCAGTGATGGCTACTTGTCGTTTCAGTACGAGTTCTGCTACATACACTATGCGTCTATCAATGTCTCTGTCTCCTAGATCCGCCCCCGCGAGAGAACATCAATTAAGTGGTGATGATGAGGAAGCAAAACATGGAGCAAGGAAAGGAAATCAAATTAATTGAAAAACATAAGAAAAATGACCAAACATTTCAAACCTTATGTCTCGGGGGGCTTTTAACATTAATATTACACGATATTAAATAAATGTTACTGTCACTCCAGTTTTACCGCCTTTAAGTTATATGTGGACAAATCAGAGATGAGAGGAGAAATATTGATATTTAATCCGTGACTTACCAAGCAGTTTCTTGTGCGTTTATGTTTCCACAAACCGCAAAAATAGTCCACGCCCATTAACCGACTATTTTTTCCTGGTTGGTTGAAATAGAATGGGCGAGTTTGCGTTGCATTATTGCGCTGAACGATTAACTAGTTTTTTGTGTTGATGTATGGAGTATAATTCATTGTTAAAACAATGTTGTTACAAAGAAAACTTACAACTCTACGGACAACTTCTGGTTTGTTGCCTATAGCGACGTTTCCAGTGTAGATTCTTACACCGTTATCACCGTTATAAGAGTGACCACAACTAAGTGATGAGAGGTCTATTATGCATTATTACATGTTGTGTTAAGCAGCAGATTAACATGTCATCAAGTCATATTCAAATTACTACAGGACCCACGATCCATAAAAGAAGTCACAAAAATGACAACAAAAATATATTAACACTCCGTCACAAAAACAATTCGGTATGAGTTAACATGAATCGTTCCTTCTCTAGAGGGGCTTGATGTCGGATCTGTGTTACCTACTGGACGTTAAAGCTTGTCACAAGGTTCCCAGAAGTGACGTCACAAACGTTGTGAAGAGTTGCGTCCCTTAGGCGTGTCAGGAACCTGTGATCGTGGATTCGCTCTTACTAGGTTTCTGGGTTTGTCAGCACATACCCGTGTTCATGTGTTTCTCCAAAGTGGTAAAGGCCATTCCACGAGATCTTCACTCGCTTCAAGTTGACATGCTGTAATACACCTGACATACTGTTCAAAGTGGCATATTTAAACTCACTTACTCGTTGCGTTGAATATTCTTTCACTTGAATTGAGATGTGCATGCACCTGTGTGTGCTTGATTGTACCTTATCGGTTCTAAAAGTAGCTTGCGCACTCCGATACTATGTCACAGTTTAACACTGACACCCAACTCAGATAAAATAGAATCTTGTGTTATCCAATAAATGCCGTGCGCCAGGCACGGAAAGAGTGAACGAAGCAGCTAGACCAGCGTATCTGATCTCGAAACTGTTCCGAATATAGATGATTTTTTTTCTTGAAAGTTTATACATCCTGTCGTTTCTGAGCACCATGGTTTCCTACACACCAAAGCTTGTACTATCGTGGCTATATTTGTGTTGTGTGGCGGTTCTCCTTTGCTAAAATCGTGAAAGAGGTGGTCAAGAAATGAAGCCGAATCATGTTCGTCAGATCTAAATGCAGAGAATGTCGTATCGGAATAAAGGGTCTGATATTAATGAGATTGCGGGAAGCTTCGAGTCAGTTGAGATAAATGCGAGGTAGAAGGAATTTGTGTTGCGATGTACATGGGACAGCAGTGTAGTCGTGCGAGGTGGCAGCACTTTGGGATCGCTGGCTGGTGATGCAGTCGCTACAAGACCAAACACGACACGTGATACAGTCAAACCCGTTCGTAAATGTCTCTCTACTTTAATCCAGTCACAACTACAATCATAAAGTATTACTACATTATAGATAGATTACAACTACATTACACATGGGAAACAATTACGAGGAAGCGTCAGAAAATCATCCTTCCCTGCTAATTTCACAATTAGTAAAGCTGCCGTCATATCGCCGGAATATTGTTGGATGGAGCGATCGATGGGAACAAACAAACAGATAAATGTGTAAGGTTAAATTCGAGGTAGGCAGCTGGGAAGCTTTGTGGTAAAAGCCTTTTAGCGATATTGCTTCAATGGTGAAGCCGCGACAATTCCACTCACTAACTCACTCACTCATCCCGAGGTGTGGTGCCCTAGTGGTTACCTCATTCAACCGTTGCGCCGGAGCCCCATGTGTGAATGTCCCTCGCCGTGACCCTACTGAATATTGCAAACGGCGTAAAAATCCGTTCACTTACTCATTACAATGATCTACGTCAGGGTGACTTTGTCTCTGGAATATAGGCGACCGAACAACGAGGCTGTGATAAGCGGTTTGGAAAATCCATTTCCTCCATGAAGAACCCTGTCTTTAAAAGACCACTCTCCTTGCACAAGCCCGATATACTGTCCATCAGCAACAAGCACTTCAGGAAAAATAAACGGAGTTGATAAATTACCACTAATTTCCATGAAGCTAAATGCTGATCGTGATTGTTTCACGGGGTCCCCGCAACTGGACATATCATTATCCGGACACATCAATACGGAACAGATCTGAGTAAAACGCCCGTCATCAAAACCATTAAATACTGCCAGAACAAACAAATCCTCAAGGGCGGAAAGGTTCTCCCTGGTGTAGACCACCGTGCAGCACACATCATCTCTACAAGCACGTTGCGTCCCAGTTTGGTGCTCTAGGGCAACAAACGTATAGTTTTCTCGTGGAAGGGATGTCCATCTGGTGAGCTTTAACGTGTCAAAAAGTGGGTCAGTTTTGTCAAATGAACGTTCAACAGGTACAAAAGATGACAACATATCCCCTGAAGACACTTTTGTATCTTGCTTCATATTAATGACAATCCAGTTTTCCCTCTTCATCTGCAAATACACAAACGGATCTTGGATACCCGTCTCCACAATAGAATCTACATCAGCTACCAACAACTTACCCTCACTGAGGGCACCGTCGTTGTAGTAGTATGTCGCCGACCCCGTCGGGGTGTAGATGCCGCTGCCCTGGAATTTAAACACCGGGTAGTGTATATTGGCCGCGAGCACGTTGACCCCAAGGCCCTTGGCGAAGGCGGAGTGATACTCAATGGCTGCGAGATACGGAAGACGGTCCATCCACGCCGTCGGGAAGACCATGTTCCGTATCCCCTCCTTATTGATCAACTCGACGCCAGGGTTGTAGAACAGGATATCGAAACAAGTGAATAAACCGAACTTTCCGAACGGTGTCTCAAACGTGGCCAGTTCTAATGGCGGCGTATCAAACTGATCTTCCTGGAACAGATGGCGCTTGTGATACCTGGCGACCAGAACTCCTTCCGGGTTAAAGGTCACATCCGTGTTGTACTGATACTGGTCGTCGTCGGGGCACTTTGGGTCGTTGCTATGGTTACATGGTTTTCTGTCACCCATGTTTGCAATAACATACATGGCATTTTCCCTCGCCATACAGCTTAGTTCCCGTTGTATCGTGGTATCGGTGTCGGTGTCGGTGTCGGTATCGGTGTCGCTACCGGAAGTCAAGCAGGGATTCCACTCGGTGATACGGGGATCAGGGATTTCTTCCAAGAATGGTTTGATGGTGTTTCGGTTGAATATCATGCCATATATCCCATCTTCAGGAAATACTATGATATCAGCACCCTGAAGGACAATTAACAACGTTTTAACAACATCAGTATGACAAAAGCTACTATGGAAACATGACAACGTTTTAACAACATCGTTATGATATCAGCTCCCTGAAGGACAAATAACAACGTTTTTAAAACATCTTTATGATATCAGCTCCCCGAAATACATATAACAACGTTTAAACAACATCGTTATGATATCAGAAACCTGAAGGACAAATAACAACGTTTTAACAACATCGTTATAATACAGCTCCCCGAAGGACAAATAACAACGTTTTAACAACAACGTTATAATACAGCTCCCCGAAGGACAAATAACAACGTTTAAACAACATGGTTATGATATCAGAAACCTGAAGGACATATAACAACGTTTTAACAACATCGTTATAATACAGCTCCCCGAAGGACAAATAACAACGTTTTAACAAGATCGTTATGATATCAGCTCCCAAGAGAAAAACAACAACGTTTTAAAATCGTTATACTCAAAAGCAAGAATAACTGTTAGTGATCTTATCTATCACATTGTGGTGATATATAAACAGATATTTCCAACTCATCTATAATTCTTTGAACATTTAAAGAGTATTGTTGCCAAGCCGGGAGTAGATGGCTTCAAAATTTCAATTTTCAAATCGGAAGTGTGCCTTGCCAACTTCATAATATTACTCAAGGTATTGTTTCACATATCCATTCGAGAGTTAAAAAGGGAAATGTAAGGTGTTCGGCTTTCGTTGATATCTCAATATACATTAAGCGGCATCGTGTTTCTCTGGTTTGTGTGTTTGTAAAAGGGAGATTGGTAAGTTCGTAAAGCCAATAATCCATATTATTATTATTATTATTATTAATATTCATATATCAATAGATTCATTTACATTTTCTAATAGGTATATCTACATGCATCATCGATAAAACGGCGTATTATGTCTCCATTCTATTATGATAAATAGCCTGGATCCATCGACACTACAGACTGATCCGTTGGGGTTGCCGTGCAACCAAAATAAACTTGTCAGCGAGACAATTCCAGTGTTAAGTTAATCAGACATGGAAATGGCGACCCCACTTTCCCCACGAAACTACGGTGGCGAATGTGTCCAGGGTATTTATTACAATAGAATTGATAAATTGTTCCCTGGATAACCGAGGATGATCTACAATAGATGTCCAACATGCATCACTAGTACTTTATGACGCGGACAGCTCAAGTGGAAAATAAATACAATCATAGATTTCACAGCAGATTGTTTAACACAACGCGGCAACACTCCACAATGCCAAAGAAAAAAAACAATATTGGCTGATTTTAGTAATTGCTTTTTTAGTTGGGCACGAATGTTTATTGCATACATATGTCATGACTTAGATAATATCAATGTGCCATTTTTCGCATTATTCTCTCAATACATGACTACAATATACGTTGCTTGAATATATATGTAAACATTTAGATTTATAAAATAGCCAGTAAAGGTATTAATACAATAACCAGAGACAATAATGGTCTCTGCAATAACTAAATCACGGACTGTTAAGCGAGGCGATCCAGCTCCAGGAAATACTACCACGTCTGTGTAATGGCGGAGTTGAGTGTGAGTGAGGGAGTTAAAACGTAGCGTCACAACGGCATTATTTCAGCCATAAAGCGACGATAACAATTGATATATATCTATCTATATCTATCTATCTATCTATCTATCTATCTATCTATCTATATATACAATTGATTCCTGAATAGAAAGATTCTAAAAACAAATTTGTGAAACATATTTTATCACAACAATACGGAACTGTGAAGGGTCAGTCAGGATTCAGATTCAGTCGTCTAACACGCCACAATTTGCTGTGCAGAGTTGCGTCCCTTGGGCACGTCAGAAACCTATGACTGTGGCTTTGAATCCCGGTTCGCCCCGATTATGTTTCTAGGTTTGTCAGCACCATACCCGTGCTCGTGGGTTTCACCGAAGTGGTAAACGTCTGAGACCTGCTTCACTTCGGGCTTTCCTTCCATATTAAGCTGACAAGCCGCGATATAACTGGAATACTTTTCAAATCAGCGTTAAACCCAATTCACAAACCATATCTGTATTCTTTCTTTTGAATACATCGGTATTGCATCACGATCTGTTAAATACTTTCCGAATTAGTAGCGCTTAATGACGACACCAGTTAGGTAAACAAAATGATGACAAAGAATAGAAGAAACACAGTTGCGAATTCGTAGCTTTTGACAACATACATAAGTATTAGCGACAAGGAGATGCCACTAAGCCGTGCAGTACAAAGCAACAACCATGGACACAACGGACAAGCTATAGGGAAATATGAGAGTGAGTGAGTTGGGTTTTAACGCCGCTTTTAACAGTATTCCAGTTATATCACGGCGTGTCAGCTTAATGTGGGAGGAAAGCCCGAAGTGATGCAGGTCTCAGACGTTTACCACTTCAGTGAAACCCACGAGCACGGGTATGGTGCTGACAAACCTAGAAACATAATCGGGGCGAACCGGGATTCGAAACGACAATCATAGGTTTATGGCGTGTCCATGGGACGCAACTCTGCACAGCGAATCGCGGCGCTTTAGACGACTGGGCCACCCGTCCCCCGGAAATATGAGAGGTTGGGTGGTTGTTTTGGGGTTAAACGCCACTTTCAACAGTACCTAGTTCTATCATGATGTCGGGTTAATGCTGGAGGAAAGCGCAACGTGGCCCATGTTGCTAACATGATTTTATCAACGTTTCGGCGCTTTATGGCCGATGAACTTTACCTCACGCACTCAACACGCTGATGAATGAGTGCAGTTTTACGCCGCTGTTTGCATTATTCAACAAAATCCCCGCGACGGACACAAGCACTGATGAGAGAACGCCTTATAACCACCGCACCCAAAACTTGGATGAAGCCAAGTGAGTATGGTTCAGGCCG